TTTTTTAAAAATTTTTTTTAAAAATTTTTAAAAAAAAAAAACAGAAGAAAATTTGCCAGCCCCCCCCCCCTCCCTTTGAAAGCCGTCCAATTCCTACATAACACATTGCTCATCTCAGATGGCTGATTTCCCTATGGGGTTTGCCCAATGAAGGGCATACATCGAGAACTGCCCTTCTGCAGGAAGCTTATTTTTTTGGCCCTATGGCCTGGATATCATGCTAGAATATATTTGCAGAACCGCGGCGGGCCATGCTGAACAGAAGTTCACTCCATGGTCTAAAATCTCAGTGCGAAATACATATGCGACACACATCTCTTCATTAGCACTATTCTATAAATGACATATCCTATAATGTAGCGCGCGAGCCAATGGTATGAATTAACTGCTGATATATCTTTAAAACTGAAGCTATAAACTACAAAACCAATAAATCTCAAAAAAAAAAAATAATAAAATAAAAATAAAAATATAAAAAAAAATAGTATGCTTAAACTTAAACGTCCACCATTTTCCATGAGGCAGGGGCCGTCATCAGATGCACGCCAAAAGGGGGAAGAGCTTCAGTATATCCTGAACCGGAAGTTGAAGCACAGCGGTAGGGTCGTGAACTTCAAGGCTGCGCAGTAGACGTGATTATGTTACCATGGCGAACTTCTCTTCGGTGGAACAGTAAAGCCAAAAAAAAAAATAAAAAAAATAATGAACCTTAGTGCAAGCCATATTTTATGCTAATCCGCCACACTCCGCCACATTGATAATGGATTATCAATGCATTTCGGATTTTAAAAAATTTCTTACATTGTTGCTTGAACTTAAGTTTTAAAATCAGTTACTGTGTGAGCAACCATAAAACGAACTAAACCTTAAGATAACCCAGCAATAAACGAACCAATCATTTAAGCGAACTTTCCATTAAACGAACCAGCACGATCAGCTGAAAAAAAAACAAAAAAAAAATTTACAGCAAAAAAAAAAAAAAAAAAAAAAAAAAAAAAAAAAAAAAAAAAGAAAAAACATGTATTTCCTTGTGACCGCCCCCTACCCTATACCCTATAATAATATGTATTGAACAAAATGGACAACCAAGCCAATATACAAATATATATTTGATAGAAATGCAATAAAAAGCTCTCTATAACAAGCTAACTATATCGTTCTGTATATATACACAAAGGGGTCTGTTCCATGGCTGCAGTCGCCTCCCGTCCGACAGTTAGAAGTGGCGGCGACTACAAACACATGACATGTCAACATTTTGTCCAAACTTTCATCACCATGCAACAAAGTCAACACATTTTTTGTTTAAATCATAGAAAGACGAAGCTGATCACTTTTCTGAGCTGAAAAATCTTCGAAGCTGATTACTTTTCTGAGCTGATACATCTTCACAGCACTGATTTTTATTTTGAGGGTTTCAATGTTCAAAGCCGAATCTTCTGTCAGTTTAAATGTTCACAGCGAGCCACGCTCTAAGCTGATTAGCTTACCATCTGTCACATCAGCTTACCAGCGGCCACATCAGATTACCAGCTGTCAAATCAGATTACCAGCCGTCACATCAAATTACCAGCCAGCACATCAGATTACTAGCCGTCACATCAGATTACCAGCCGTCACATCAGATTACCAGCCGTCACATCAGATTACCAGCCGTCACATCAGATTACCAGCCGTCACATCAGATTACCAGCTGTCACATCAGATTACCAGCTGTCACTTCAGATTACCAGCTGTCACATCAGATTAAAGTCTTGTAGAATGTATCTAGATGTGGCTAACCTTCAACTCCCCTTCACAATGCCGTGCCACAGATGTTATTGTTATCCCAGGAAATACCTCCCCCTCCCCCAACAAAAATGTATAACATGCCATAACCACTCATGTCTAAAAAAGTACTGCACCCCACCACTCATGTCTAATAAAGTACTACACCCCACCACTCATGTCTAATAAAGTACTACACCCCACCACTCATGTCTAATAAAGTACTACACCCCACCACTCATGTCTAATAAAGTACTACACCCCACCACTCATGTCTAATAAAGTACTACACCCCACCACTCATGTCTAATAAAGTACTACACCCCATCACTCATGTCTAATAAGGTACTACACCCCACCACTCATGTCTAATAAAGTACTACACCCCACCACTCATGTCTAATAAAGTACTACAGCCCACCACTCATGTCTAATAAAGTACTACACCCCACCACTCATGTCTAATAAAGTACTACACCCCACCACTCATGTCTAATAAAGTACTACACCCCACCACTCATGTCTAATACAGTACTACACCCCACCACTCATGTCTAAAAATGTACTACGCCCCTTAACACTACACCACCTTATGTAACGGTGACCCTTCTCCCCAGGGGTCACAACGGTGACCCTTCTCCCCAGGGGTCACGTTCAGCACCACATGTTTTCCCAAGTTTCACAATCACTTCAGTTATATGCCTTAACCCCGCCCCTTTACGTCCCGCCCCTAACATTTTAACTCCGCCCCCCCCCGCCCCCAAATCTACGTTCCACACCTAACACGTGACCGTAATGCTTTAAAGATTCAGGAATCATCGGTGACTTCGAAAATGAAATCATCGATGGGTTGTCCCGGTAGTCAGTTGGCAGCCTTCATGAAGGTGCTCAGCGCCCGGTCCTCCAGCTCAGACTTGGACACGACGTCTCGCCTCGTCGCCGCCTTTGACGTTGGGCTTGCGGGCTTATCCTTATTTTTTTTCAAATTCTTCTTTCCCCCTTTCTTATCCTTGTCCTTGTCTTTATCCTTGTCCTTGTCTTTATCCTTGTCCTTATCTTTATCCTTGTCCTTATCTTTATCATTTTCCTTATCTTTATCCTTGTCCTTATCTTTATCCTTGTCCTTATCTTTATCCTTGCCCTTTCTCTGCTTCTTTACTTTCTTTCCAGGTTTATCTTTCCCCGCGGGTTTCTTCGGGTTCTTCCTGCCGCCGTTTTTCCCGCCATTTTTACCACCGCCTTTCCCGCCATTTTTGCCATTGTTTTTCCCGGCGTCCTTCCCGGCGGAAGTGCTTGGGGTTTTGGTCTCCACGCCGTTGGCGGAGAGCTCCCGGAATATCCCCTCGCACGTGTTGCCTTTCCGGATGGCCCGCAGACCCTTTTTAAACTCTTTATCTTTTTTATTCCAGACGATGCCGAAGTTAATCATGAGCTTGTCGTCCCGGTGGTTCCCCATGAGCAGATAGCGCTCTTTGGTGGAGTTGATCGTCTGACAGCTGCAGGTGGCCCCGCCCTCAATCAGTGTGGTCACGTGGCGGCCGTCCTTCTTGCCGAGGCCGCCATCTTTGTAGATGTTCTTCTTGTTCTGTAGCACCAGTTCCTTGTGGGAGCCGTGGTCTCGGAACTCTTTCACGCTGACCCGCATCACTGTAAGGGAGAGAGGGAAAAAAAGTGTCAATACTAGCATAATTTAGACCCGTTAAATTTTGGGGAAATTCGGGGTATAAAATATTTATTTACAAAAAAAAAAAAAGACAAAAAAAAGCAACATCATTATATATTTATAAATTCAAGTTGAAAATAAAATAAGATGTAAATTAAACATTTTTACCCTTCAAATATGAAATAAAGCTAATTTCTCGTGTTTTCTGATTTTTACAGAAGATGCATGAAATTGACGTCTACTCAAATTTCAACACCTGTTTGATTGCCAACGAGCTACCCTATATAAATAGATGGACACTCAAGGAAAAGGTGTCATTTAGGTGAGGAAGGCTACTCTACATAAAAGTATTTTGTTAGTTTTGCTTTTCATTAAGAGCAGTCTCCCCTTGTGAAATAAACATTAGTGATAGTGGCTTTAGACGCTTGATGCACACCGTAAGATAAATCCAGATAATGTAGGTCAGCATCATTCCCAGGGAATATCACGGGGAGGGAGGGGGGGTAGGTTCCGGCGGACCAGATAGATCATTTAAGGATGAGCAAATAACATTCTATAAAGGTCGAGTGGACCGGACCACCTCCGACAGCCAAAGGCTTGGGTTTAATTCTTGTAATGCCACGGCATCCGATCCGAACATCCCTCACTCGGACACGGTATAGTTAATACTAACACACAACAAGCCTCGTTCTAGTACAGCACGCCTACTATAACAAAACACGCCTATTCACAACATGACACGCCTCATTGCAGCACAACACGCCTCATCACATAATTGAACCACTGCCTCACATAATGATATGCCATAAATCAACAACGGTGTAGACATTGGTAAATACAGCTCACTGCCGCGCATGATATGTTTCGGGGAGGGGGGATGAATGGCGATGGGGCGCTGGGATAGCGATGGGGAGGTTCAGATGGCGATTGGCCATGGGAGCATTGGATGGTGATGGGGTAATGGAAGGAGATGAGCTCAGAGATGGTAATGGGATGGGGCAGGTATAGCGGTGTGAGCAGGGGTGGCGCAGGGAGCATGGATGTGATGGGGTAATGGAAGGTGATGAGCTCAGAGATAGTATTGGGATGGGGCAGGTATAGCGGTGTGAGCAGGGGTGGCGCTGGCAGCATGGATGGTGATGGGGTAATGGAAGGTGATGAGCTCAGAGATGGTATTGGGATGGGGCAGGTATAGCGGTGTGAGCAGGGGTGGCGCTGGGAGCATGGATGGTGATGGGGTAATGGAAGGTGACGAGCTCAGAGATGGTAATGGGATGGGGCAGGTATAGCGGTGTGAGCAGGGGTGGCGCTGGGAGCAGAATAAATATTATTTTACACCGTACAATTTCAGTAAATGGAATACCCATTGAAAACCCATTGCCCACGGCAGGTAACTCGTGGAACCTGGAATCTTGTCCGTCCAGGTAGCAGTGCAGGTAGAAGTAAAGGTAGCAGTGCATGTAGCAGTAGAGGTAGCAGTACAGGTAGCAGTACAGGTAGCAGTATAGGTAGCAGTATAGGTAGCAGTACAGGTAGCAGTACAAATAGCAGTCCAGGTAGCAGTATGGGTAGCAGTCCTTGTAGCAGTCCAAGTCCAGGTAGCAGTTCAGGTAGCAGTACAGGTGACAGGGCTTTGGAAATGCTGGTAGTTTCACAAACAACTGAATTTCAGGACAAGTGTTCTCAAATCACGGGTGAACGACCCAAAAGATTTGAGTTGAATCGATTGATACTTAGTTTTTGGACTTGACTGCCAATGACTTGGAACTTGATTTAATTTTGATTTAGACTTATTTCGATGAAGTCACTAGCACTATTTTAGGCTTAGCTTAAACTTGACTTAGACTTAGCTTAAAATTGGCTTAGACTTAGCTTAAACTTGACTTAGACTTAGCTTAAACTTGACTAAGACTTAGCTTAAACTTGACTAAGACTTAGCTTAAACTTGACTTAGAATTCCCTTAAATGGAGGGCCTAGACTCCGGTAGAGAAAATCTCACAAACTCTGTCAGAACATAAAATATTCCCCACCCCTCGAAAATTGCCCCCTCCTCCCCCCAACCCCCTTACCAACCTCCCCCTTTTTTTAGCCATATGATTTTTGTGTACCGTTTGTTTACTCCCCGTGCTCGACCATACGCCAAAGAACGACAACCGTTAGCACTTTCCAGGATGTTTGACCTGCACGCGTTGTCTGCCCCTGGCTAATAAATATTAACGTTTGGCATGATGGAACATGGCGTGCGTACATGGCGTGCGTACATGACGTGCGTACATGACGTGCGTACATGACGTGCGTACATGGCGTGCGTACATGACGTGCGTACATGGCGTGCGTACATGGCGTGCGTACATGGCGTTTCGTTCAATTACTCTGGAATTAAAAAACCCTTCTTTTTTTTTTTAAACTTCCCCCCCCCCCCCCCTTTTTTTTCCCCAATGAAAATTTTCAACGATGGAAAGGGGGGGGGGGAAGGGGGGGATATGAAGTTTTATAAATAAAAGTGGAGTTTGGGTTACTGAGTTGATAGTTAAACCGCTAAAAAAATCTATCAATAGCCTTGGCGCCATATTGAATTGACACCAGCCAAAAAATTAAAGAAAAATAATTAAGAGTCTGTTTCAATTGGCCGCTAACCGAATCCAGTTGGAAGCCAGACAAAATAAATGCGATATGCATCGAGTGCAGTTGTGTGTGTTTACACGGGGTCGTGTAGGGCTGGGGTGGGCAGTTGTGTGTGCTTACACGGGGTCGTGTAGGGCTAGGGTGGGCAGTTGTGTGTGTTTACACGGGGTCGTGTAGGGCTAGGGTTGGCAGTTGTGTGTGTTTACACGGGGTCGTGTAGGGCTAGGGTTGGCAGTTGTGTGTGTTTACACGGGTCGTGTAGGGCTAGGGTTGCTAGTTATGTGTGTTTACACAGGTCGTGTAGGGCTAGGGTTGCCAGTTCTGTGTGTAGGATAGGTTTAGAACGTGCTCATCAGCAACGTGTCTATGTGACTAGTTTCAGCTCGATTGGTTGCCGGAAAGTGGGTCAGTTAGCCGTATGAAGATTTTGTCAGCCAGCCACGAACAAAAACGAAACGAATATAAAAGATTCAAAAGCAACCATCCATGGTTCAAGCCACCATCTGATTCTTCACAAAAATAATATTGTCCTATAAATATATCCTATAATATTGTCCTATAATATATCCTTTAATATTGTCCTATAATATATTCTATAATATTGTCCTATAATATATCCTATAATATTGTCCTATAATATATCCTATAATTTATCCTATAATATATCCTATAATATTGTCCTATAATATATCCTATAATATATCCTATAAAATATCCTATAATTTATCCTATAATATTGTCCTATAATATATCCTATAATATATCCTATAAAATATCCTATAATTTGTCCTATAATATATCCTATAATATTGTCCTAAAATATATCCTATAATTTGTCCTATAATATATCCTATAATAGTGTCCTATAATATATCCTATAATATTGTCCTATAATATATCCTATAATTTATCCT